AGCCATTCAAGCAGTTACTGAGTTTGTTTCAAGAAGAGGGAGTCATCTGAGTGACACTGATATATCAAGGTACATCAAAGCTTGTTGTGATAGATGGTTTCGGTCCCTTTTTTACATTATTATCTGATGATCTTGTTCTCCTTTCTTCTTTTGGCAGGACAACTCAGTCCTTGCTTTCGGCAGCAGTTCATATAACTGAGAAGAATTTACGTGTTGAAGCGATTGGAGCTGTATCCTTTGCTTAACATTTGATTTGCACGAAATTTGATACTGCTATAATATAAAACTCAGTAGCATTTATCTCGTATGCTCTTAGTATATTACTGCTTACCTTAATGACATGAAGATCTCTGCACTAGCAGAGAACACACAATCATCGATTGTATTTAATGAAGTCTTGGCTACTGCTGGAAGGGACATTGTGACAAAGGACATAACTAGAATGCGTGGTGGCTGGCCAATGCAAGATATATTTTATGTAAGTACCATTCTCTTTGGAACTATGATATATTATTTTATCTACTTTTCTTTCATGGTTATATAAGATGAAATTTTGATGCAGGCTTTCTCTCAACATACGGAGCTTTCAATTTTGTTCATGGAACACTTAATATCCGTTCTCAATCGTAGTTCTTTAGTTAAAGGTGATAAGGGAGATAGTACTAGCCCTTCTTCTGAAACGCATGTAGAAGATGATATTCTTCAAGCTGCCATTTTTGCTCTCACTGCCTTCTTTAGGTACAATTATTTCATAATCGATCAATTTTACTTGTGTGTATGTGTTGCATTTTTGGTGGCTAATATACTCAAATCAACCAGAGGTGGCGGAAAAATTGGAAAGAAAGCTGTTGAGAAAAGCTACTCTTCTGTTGTTGGGGCACTCACTCTTCAATTGGGAAGTTGTCATGGACTTGCAAGCTCGGGTCAGCAAGATCCATTACGGTAACACAATTCAAGAAATCTATAAGCTGTGACGATTGGTAGTTGGTACCCTTACTTTAGTAAAGCCTTTCTGATATTTTTCCTTCTTAAGCAGAGTACTTCTAACTTCATTCCAGGCTTTCTGCGAGTGTGTTGGTGATTTTGAGATGGGCAAGGTACCTTTTGACTTCAACATTAAATTGGTTTTGTTTAGTTTCCAGTATGATGAACTGATACATGTCTTTGCTTAGATTTTGGCACGTAATGGGGAGCAAACAGAAAAGGAAAAGTGGGTTGATTTTATTGGCGATATTGCTGGATGCATTTCAATTAAGAGACCGAAGGAGGTACCTAGTTATTAAATGATTAGCGTTGTGTTTATCAGAGTCTCTGTAGGCTAACTGTTGAGTTCAATAATTGATCATCGGTTCATTAGCTGTGTCAATTGTGGCATTATGGATTTTCTCTTGACCATTCTTCTCGGGAAGTCATCGATGTGGAAATATGTGCATAGTAGTTTAGTACACATGAGGGATTCTTTCTGTCTGAAAAGGAATGAAATTGGGGAAGCCTAACCTATTCTTTAAGACAGCCTAACTGACTTGGTGGCTAATGCATCTGAACTCTTTGTTGCTCAGACCTTTTTAAGGAGACTAGCATAGAAAGAAATTTAGTGATAAATTAATGAGCGGTTACGGGTTCCCTTCAGACTTAAACTTAAATGTTTCAGTACTGGTGTTACAGGTTCGACATATTTGCATGATTCTAACGAAAGCACTAAATCGTCCACAAAGATTCCAAAGAGAAGCTGCAGCAGCCGCATTGTCAGAGTTTATACGCTACAGGTATATTGTTTTCGATGTCCTTACAATTTTTTCATTTTGATTTGTTTCCCACGTGTGTAGTTTTCTGGAATTTTACTCGTCTTCGTGAGACATTGATTTAGATGCGTGTACCCATTCATCTTGTATGCTATGTCTGGAAAAAAAAATTTAAGGTCAAAGTGAAGATAACAGGTTATAGTTCTAGGTTATGTGTATATAAATGAGTTAAGAGAAGAAAGTCAAAGGACTGAAGCATGATGCCTGACAGGTGACATGAAAAAGGAACAAAGCCCTTCCTTATTACCTTATCTTCTTAAATTTCCTCTGCTAATATATCTGAGTTGCAGTGGTGATTTTAGTTCTGTGATGGAGGAGATGGTCGAAGCACTCTGCCGACATGTTTCAGATGATTCTCCGACTGTAAGACGCCTTTGTCTAAGAGGATTAGTCCAAGTAAGAGTTCTTGTAGGAAATTTCTAGTTATCTATTTTGATTGTCTAAGAGGACTAGTGTAAGAAAGAATTATGTGGAGCAGTTATTATTTCCTTGCCATCATTATTCAAGCAGAAAGTGTATGCTCCTGTTGGATTATGATAATGATCTTAGATCAGCAATTAATATCTTAAGAACCGTAAATCATCAAGTATGGAGGTGTTTTATCTTTGACTAAATAAAATTAGTTTATACACATATTGTATATTCATACATATTGATGCTGACTAGTCTTTGGAATAAGGTGGTTTGGGAAATTTAGTTCGGTTTCTGCTGCTTTCTTTATCAAGTTTATTATTCCTTAATACATAACTTAGTTGCTTCGGGGTTTTGCCAGATGCCATCTGCTTGTATGAACCACTACACAACGCAAGTTATTGGTGTAATACTAGCATTGCTCGATGATTTGGATGAGTCGGTGCAACTAACTGCTGTGTCATGCTTATTGATGGTAATGGTCAGAGCCATTAACAATTCGATATTTTTGAAATGTCTGTCAAATTTATACGCAATTTGTTTGAACATTATATGCTTCTTTTCTTTTGTTTAGGTCACAGAGTCAGCATCTAATGATGCTGTTGAACCTATCTTAATGAATTTATCCTTTCGGCTTCGTAATCTTCAGGTAAGTTATCTGAAACAAATACGAGATATAATAAAGCTTTAAGGCCAGACTAAACCTTGAACGGAAGAAAAAAGAAACGCAAAATCAGTTCTCTAAGTTCACTAAACTGTTAGGTACATGGAATTCTAATTTGTAACAGGTTAGCATGAACCCGAAGATGAGAGCCAATGCATTTGCAGCATTTGGAGCATTAAGTAAATATGCTAGTGGAGGGCAACGGGAGGGATTTGTCGAGCAGGTGACACATTTTTCTTCTCGTTTTCTTTTAAGTGATATGAATGACGAGGAAAGAAAATCTTTAGTTTTATCTAATGAAACTGTTTAAACCAGATTCATTCCACCCTTCCCCGCTTGGTAGTACACCTCCATGACGACGATGCTAGCATAAGACAGGCTTGTCGGGTAATTTTCTTCATAGCCTTTTACTCTTTTGTTTTGTTTGAGATAACTTTGAGTCTAGATACCCGTTTTTATTTTGGGTAGGGTACCCTCAAGCGTTTTGTTCCTCTCATGGACATCAAAAACCAGTCTACCCTGTATGACTCACGTGCTTTTAATTCTGACGATCGGTATGTCTCGCCATCTTATGAGTACCGAATCTATTTTGTGGAAAATGGAGGCATTTATTTCCTAATGTTGTTTATATTTTCAGAACTGACTATGAAAACTTCGTGAGAGATCTCTCAAGGTATTTGGTTCAAGAGTCGGAAAGAGTTGATACTTACATGGCCTCCACCATCCAGGTTCAGCTTTCCTCGACTAATCACCATAGTTGCTAAATTCATTAACTAAATATTGAAAGAAAAATAAAAAATGAAGTGAGAAAAAACGACCTGGTGCAGGCTTTTGATGCACCATGGCCAGTAGTTCAGGCGAATGCAATTCACTTCTCTACCACCATGTTATCACTCTCAGAGGATCAGCACATAATCTCTCTCTACTACCCACAGGTATATTAAAGAAACTACATATATATGACATGCTTACAAGTCTTTACAAGTTCTCAAGCCCGTCTCTTTGTTCAGGTGTTTGAAACGCTGGTTAGCAAGATGACCCGGTCGCAAGATTCAGTTGTGAGAGCGGCATGCTCAGCAGCCTTCGGATTGCTGCTAAGATCAACCAAGTCAACATTGTGGAGAGGAGCTCGACTTGATCGGACTGACTCAGGTAGAAAAACCAATGATCCCGAGTCTGTCAAGAAATAAATACGTGCATTGCGGTCTGTGTGAATATCAACCGGTTACTGCCGAAAAAAATCTGGGGCTTTGCGATATAGATCCATAGGTACAGTTTGCAACGTGAAAGCCATCCAGGTTTGTGTGTCGTAATGTGTTTGTTGTAAAGTGTTTGTGTTGTAAGGAAATTGCGGCTAGTGTGTGTCATCTCCATTACCGAACTGAGGAAAGAAACAATTACACGAAACATTTACACGTAAGTGTTGTAGGCCCTGGACCTCTGGTCCTCTTTTGTTGACTGTGATTTTTGAGGCTTCTGGTAGATATAGCCGCCTTGAAAGAGTCCAATGTTGGATTTCATCTTCTTGTACTATTTTATAATGGAGTTTAATCGTTCTATAAAGTTTCAAACTCAAATTCGATTTTATTATAAACTTATAGATATATGTATAGGAGTGTTATCTTTTGATTCGTTGGGTGTGACTTGTGAGAGGTAGAGAGAGACGAGGGTGTGAGGGAAAGTAGAGATAAGATGTCATTTCTTATTATTCAACTTTAACTTACTTTGCAGGTACTCAGTCCACATATTATATACTAAATTATATTCGTATAATAATAGTGTTAACCGACTATATTGATGTAAATAAATTATATGGGATATTCTTAAACAGATGATTTTTCTTTTCTTGGGTAAAATTATTAATTTCTGTGCCTTTATTGTAACTTTTGGGAGTTGCTGTAGATGTAGCTATCAGCGAGCCTCCAAGTTGGTTTTTGTGTCTGTGAAGGAAACGGTCACAAACGGACAAACTAAAGTTTTGGCCAAGAAAATCTTGTAGTAATAACAATCTGTGGACTGGATTGGAAGTGTTTGGCAAGTAAAAATCTGTTTACGTCATCTATTACGTCTTCTGTGCTCTCCACGTACCTTTATTCTATATAAGCGCTCACAAATATAATCCAAAACCAAAACAAAAAAAAAAACCTTGAGAGTTTCATTTGAGCGTTGAATAAACATGGGCTCCGAAACAACCAACAAATCTTATCCTCTTCATTTTGTTCTCTTCCCTTTCATGGCTCAAGGCCACATGATTCCCATGGTCGATATTGCAAGGCTCTTGGCTCAGCGCGGCGTGACCATAACAATCATCACGACGCCTCACAATGCAGGGAGGTTCAAGAACGTCCTAAGCCGTGCCATTGAGTCTGGCTTGCCCATCAACATAGTGCATGTGAAGTTTCCATATCAAGAAGCTGGTTTGCCAGAAGGGAAAGAGAATCTAGATTCTCTTGACTCGATGGAGCTGATGATTCCTTTCCTTAAAGCGGTTAACATGCTCGAAGAACCAGTCCAGAAGCTCATAGAAGAGATGAGCCCTCGACCAAGCTGTCTTATTTCCGATATGTGTTTGCCTTACACAAGCAAAATCTCCAAGAAGTTCAATATACCAAAGATCGTCTTCCATGGCATGTGTTGCTTTTGTCTTCTGTGTATGCATATTTTACACAATAGCCTTGAGATCTTGGAAAATTTAGAGTCTGATAAGGAGTCTTTCATCGTTCCTTATTTTCCTGATAGAGTTGAATTCACAAGACCTCAAGTTCCCGTGGAAACATATGTGCCTCAAGGAGAGTTGAAAGAATTGGGGGATGATATAATAGAAGCGGATAAGACATCTTATGGTGTGATAGTCAACACGTTTCAAGAGCTCGAGCCAGCGTATGTCAAAGACTTCAAGGAGGCAAGGTCAGGTAAAGCATGGTCTATTGGACCCGTTGCCTTGTGCAACAAGGTGGGAGCAGACAAAGCTGAGAGGGGAAACAAGTCGGACATTGATCAAAACGAGTGTCTTAAATGGCTTGATTCTAAAGAAGAAGGGTCAGTGTTATATGTTTGCCTTGGAAGTATTTGCAATCTTCCTCTGTCTCAGCTCAAGGAGCTCGGGCTAGGCCTAGAAGAATCCAATAGACCTTTCATTTGGGTCATAAGAAGTTGGGAGAAATACAAAGAGTTAGATGAGTGGATCTTGGAGAGTAGATTTGAAGAAAGAATCAAAGACAAGGGACTTCTCATCAAAGGATGGGCTCCTCAAATGATTATTCTTTCACATCCTTCTGTTGGAGGGTTCTTAACGCATTGTGGTTGGAACTCAACTCTTGAGGGGATAACCTCTGGTCTACCGCTGCTCACATGGCCGCTATTTGCAGACCAATTCTGCAACGAGAAACTGGTCGTGCAGGTACTAAAAGCTGGTGTAAGAGCCGGGGTTGAGCAGCCTATGAAATGGGGAGAAGAAGAGAAAATAGGAGTATTGGTGGATAAAGAAGGTGTGAAGAAGGCCGTGGAAGAATTATTGGGTGATAGTGATGAAGCTAAGGAGAGAAGAAGAAGAGCCAGAGAGCTTGGAGAATTAGCTCACAAGGCTGTGGAAGAAGGAGGCTCTTCTCATTCTAACATCACATTACTCTTACAAGACATAATGCAACTAGCACAATCCAATAATTGATTACGTCATTATAAAAGTAATATTAATGTTGAAACAGTTTTTCATTAACTTTGCTTATTAGAGAATCTGAAGTCTCTGAGCCTTCAATCACGTGGACGAATCAGTCGAAGATAAGTCATTGACAACTTTCCGGTTCTGAAGTCAACTTCAACTTCCAAAAGTTGGATTTCCTAAATTTAATGCTGCGATAAAATTTCATAACCGAAGAATAAAGTCATTATTAATTGACTTAACCTCATTCTGTCCATTTTTAGTTTCCGAAAAAACATGTAAGCTTTATAAACATTTGTGGATTTTGTCGGACGTACGGTATAAATCGAATGGTTAGCTTTCTAGAAATGTTGGTGGACTCTAAACAGAGTGATCAGTATAACCTGTCATATACCTTTGTTTTGACTAGGTCACCTGTGAATTTGAATGACTTTTGAAATATTTATTTTGAAACCTTCTAAAATTCTACTAGTAACGGTGGTCAGACCCAAATCATAAAAAAAAACAAATATTTTGAAAACGTTTGTCATAAGACGGGTAATCTACTAAAACAATTACTCCCAACTAAATAATAATTTAAAGTGTCCTAAATCGTTCAAGTTTAAAAATTCCTCGAGTGCATCGTCCTTTTTTGTTGAATTTTATTTTTTAATGCTTCTGGATCTGGTAGATGATACATGTCTTAAAATAGTCAACTTCAATTTGGAAGCTGTGGATTTGGTACACAAAAATGTTTTAGATTTTCCACCTCCTTGTTGTGAGCTTTTTTATTTATTTCACATTTAACAGTTGTTCATGAGGATTATCTTCTATCTCTAGTTCAATATTTTTTTATAAAAAATTCCAGAAAAGGAAGGATATTTTGTTTGAAAAATGGGCTTAATTATTGTCAGCACCTAAAAGTTTACGAAGAAAAAAAAAATTAAGAAAGTTCAGTGATTAGAAAGAAAATTATAAAATGATTTCTAACCAAAATCAGAAGAAAAATTATATCAAATTTAATATAATTATTTTTATGTAACCTTGGTCAAGCTTATGTTTCTATTTGATATATATCTTTCTTTTCACGATTATTTTGCATATATATATATATATGCTAACATTGTAACACACACTAATAATCTAGACCAAAAAAAAAAAAACTTAGACATGGCTTCTGAAGCTAGCCACCACTCATATTCTTCACTTCACTTTGTTCTCTTCCCCTTTATGGCTCAAGGCCACATGATTCCCATGGTTGATATTGCAAGGCTTTTGGCTCAGCGTGGTGCGACCATAACAATCATCACAACGCCGCACAACGCAGCGAGGTTCAAGAACGTCGTAAACCGAGCCAATCAGTCGGGGTTGCTCATCAACCTATTGCATGTCAAGTTTCCATATCAAGAAGCTGGCTTGCCAGAAGGACAAGAGAATCTAGACTTGCTTGAGTCGTTGGCGTCGATGGCAACTTTTCTTGATGCGGTTAACAAGCTAGAAGAACCGGTCCAGAAGCTAATGGAAGAGATGACACCTCGACCAAGCTGTATAATTTCTGATATTTGTTTGTTTTATACAAGCAAAATCGCTAAGAAGTTCGATATCCCAAAGATCGTTTTCAGTGGCTTGTCTTGCTTTTGCATTCTGTGTACGCATGTGTTACGCAAGAACCGTGAGATCCTGGAGAATTTGACGTCAGACAAAGAGTATTTCCTCGTTCCTTCTTTCCCCGACAGAGTGGAATTTACGAAACTTCAAGTTCCTGTCGAAACATATGCTGATCATAGAGAGTGGAAAGTGTTTATGGACAATTTGGTACAAGCGGATAACACATCATATGGTGCCATCATCAACACATTTCAAGAGCTGGAACCCGCTTATGTCAAAGACTACAAAGAGGCTAGGGCTAGTAAAGTATGGCCCATTGGACCTGTTTCCTTGTGCAACAAGTTAGGAGCGGATATAGCTGAGAGGGGGAATAAGGCAGCCATAAACCAAGACGTCTGTCTTAAATGGCTTGACTCTAAAGAAGAAGGGTCGGTGTTATACGTTTGCCTTGGAAGTATATGCAATCTTCCCCTGGCTCAGCTCAAGGAGCTGGGGCTAGGCCTAGAGGAATCCAATAGACCTTTCATTTGGGTCATAAGAGGTTGGGAGAAATACAAAGAGCTAGATGAGTGGATCTCGGATAGCGGATTTGAAGAAAGAATCAAAGAGAAGGGACTTCTCATCAAAGGATGGGCTCCTCAAATGATTATCCTTTCACATCCTTCTGTTGGAGGGTTCTTAACGCATTGCGGATGGAACTCAACTCTAGAGGGGATAACTTCTGGTATACCGTTGCTTACATGGCCCCTATTTGCAGACCAATTCTGCAACGAGAAATTGGTCGTGCAGGTACTGAAAGCTGGTGTGAAAGTCGGGGTTGAGCAGCCTATGAAATGGGGAGAAGAGGAGAAAATAGGAGTGTTAGTGGATAAAGAAGGTGTGAAGAAGGCAGTGGAAGAATTAATGGGTGAGAGTGATGATGCCAAAGAGAGAAGAAGGAGAGCCAAAGAGCTTGGGGAATTAGCTCACAATGCTGTGGAGGAAGGAGGCTCCTCTCATTCTAACATCACAGTCTTCTTACAAGACATAATGCAACAAGCACAGTCCAAGAAATAATAAAGTTATTGTTTAATAACATTTTGTGATATTTATTCAAATTATCTCTTGTATCAAATGTGTGTTCTAAGCTCCAAATTTATTGACTGATTAGAGAAAAATTAGTATGCATATTCGCTGAAATAAAAATAAAATCCATCATAGGTGGTGCTGGTGCAACGCCGCCACCAACGCCTATATTACTCCCTTTTGCTAGCCTTATTAGATTCAGTTCCACCATTTTTTCGTTTTTAGTTTTATTTCCAGCATTTTCCTTAGTTCCAGTTCTAGTTCTAACACTTTTTTTTTTAACTCCAGTTCCAAAACCAAATCTAAACAATCTTCTTAAGTGTAACATTTATGTAACCAAAAGCTTTGGCTTCAACAATATAGAAAATGTTTTTTTTTTTGGTAATTCTGCTGTTTGCCAACTAACTTATGATGTTCCGGTGGTTAAACTAATAACCATAAATTTCGGTTTTTTGGCTGATGCTTTAAGTGTTGTAATAAATATCTAGTTGTCTATAGAAAGATATAAAGAGTCAAGCTTGATTTTTCTCATTTTTCGAGAATCCAGATTTTATATTTGCGGCTGTGAACCCTCGACTATCTTTTGACGTAGTTCTCAAGAATATTTGTATAGTTTCGTCTGGCTTGTAGTAATATATGAATACAAAAAGACACATGAGTCCCCGCCACGAAATGTAATGTACACTATTAATCTCTGTGAACCAAATTGCATTTTGTACCGAATACGCCAATTTGCTTATGTGCTCTCTTACATCACTTATTATTATTTCCGTGACTCCAAAGATTTTTCCATGATTCAATAAATATACATATATGTAAGCACAGACAAACTAACACACCCACAATCCAAATCAAAGCAAAAAAAAAACTTAGAGAGTTTCTCATGGCTTCAGAGACAATCCAACAATTTAATCCTCCTCTTCACTTTGTTCTCTTCCCTTTCATGGCTCAGGGCCACATGATTCCCATGGTTGATATTGCAAGGCTCTTAGCTCAGCGCGGTGTGACCATAACAATTGTCACGACGCCTCACAACGCAGACCGGTTCAAGAACGTTCTTAACCGGGCCATACAGTCTGGTTTGCCCATCAATCTGTTGCAGGTGAAGTTTCCATCGCAAGAATCGGCTTCATCAGAAGGACATGAGAATCTGGACTTGCTCGACTCATTGGCGTCCTCAATGTCTTTCTTCAAAGCGCTTAGCATGTTCGAGGAACCGGTCGAGAAGCTCTTAAAAGAGATTGAACCTAGGCCAAGCTGCATAATCGCCGACATGTGTTTGCCTTACACAAACAGAATCGCCAACAAATTTGGTATACCAAAGATCATCTTTCATGGCATGTGTTGCTTCAATCTTCTTTGTATGCACATTATGCGCCAAAACTTGGAGTTATGGGAAAGTATAGAGTCTGATAAGGAGTACTTTCCTATTCCAAATTTTCCTGACAGAGCTGAGTTCACAAAAGCTCAGCTTCCAATGATCGTTTGTGGTGGTGGAGATTGGAAAGAGTTTCTTGATGAAACGACAGAAGGGGATAACACTTCTTATGGTGTGATTGTCAACACATTTGAAGAGCTCGAGCCAGCTTATGTTAGAGACTACAAAAAGGCTAGGGCAGGTAAGGTATGGAGCATCGGGCCAGTTTCCTTGTGCAACAAGGTAGGAGTAGACAAAGCTGAGAGGGGAAGCAAGGCCGCTATTGATCAAGATGAGTGTATTAAATGGCTTGATTCTAAGAAGGAAGGCTCGGTCCTCTATGTTTGCCTTGGAAGTATATGCAATCTTCCTCTGTCTCAGCTCAAAGAGCTTGGGCTAGGCCTTGAGGAATCTCAAAGACCTTTCATTTGGGTCATAAGAGGTTGGGATAAGTATAACGAGTTAGTTGAATGGATCTCAGAGAGTGGCTTTAAAGAAAGAACCAAAGAAAGAGGCCTTCTCATAAGAGGATGGTCGCCTCAAATGCTTATCCTTTCACACCATGCCGTTGGAGGATTCTTGACACATTGTGGATGGAACTCTACTCTTGAAGGAATCACATCAGGCGTTCCATTGCTCACATGGCCGCTTTTTGGAGATCAGTTCTGCAACGCGAAATTAGCGGTGCAGGTACTTAAAGTTGGTGTGAGCGCCGGTGTTGAAGAGCCTATGAGATGGGGAGAAGAGGAGAAAATAGGAGTTTTGGTGGATAAAGAAGGAGTGAAGAAGGCTGTGGAAGAATTGATGGGTGATAGTAATGATGCTAAGGAGAGAAGAGAAAGAGTCAAAGAGCTTGGAGAATTAGCTCACAAGGCTGTGGAGGAGGGAGGCTCTTCTCATTCTAATATCACAGTCCTCTTAGAAGACATAATGCAACAAGTACAAACCAAGAATTGATTATATATCGGGTGCTCTTAGATCATTCTTCATGTTTTTTTTGTGTAACGTTTCAAAATTCCAATATTACCTTTTATTTAAGCTAATGAACTTTTTATTTGAATGATTATCATTCAATTTTTGGTGTATTAATTAACTAGCAGCATATCTTTATATTTTACAGAAGAAATTTAACCTTCAATAATCAAATTTGTTTTATATTTCCTATTAAAATCTTAAAATTCTCCTATATATATCGAAATTGTAAAAGGACACAATTTATATATAAAAACAAGTTTAGGTGTGGTAGAGTGTAGAAAGCTTCTCTGGTGGTCCTCATGATTTCAAATTCGATATTGCTTCTACCGCCTCCAGAAAGTTTAGACTTTCGACACAAGTTTGTTTTCTTGTTGAAGGCTATTATCAGGAACATTTCGACCTCGACAAGGACCTTTTATTACCAAAGACAATTAAAAAAAAATGATTGCTTAATTTTAAAAAATTTTATTCTTACATACTGTCACCATTTTATTTTTAAACTTTTTTTTAATTTCTTAGTGTGAATTTCTGCAACCAGAAACTAGTAGGTGCTAAAAGCAGGCGTAGTTACTGGAGTTGAAGAGGTCATGAAATTTGGAGAAGATGAGAAAATTGTGGTATTAGTGGGTAAAGGAGTGAAGAATGCAGTGGAAGAATTAATGGGTGAGACCGTGAGAGTGATGATGCAAAAGAGAGAAGAAGAAGAGCCAAAGAGCTTGGAGAATTAGCTCACATGTGGAGAAAGGAGGCTCTTCCCATTCTAACATCACTCTCTTCTTACAAGACATAATGCAACGAGCACAATCCAAGAAGTGATTGTATAGTTTTTTTTTTTGCTAGGAAGAAGTGATTGTATAGTTGCTCTTTGTCACATCATTGATCATGTAATATTTTATTAGTTATTTCAATTTGAGTAATCGAATTCGTATTAAATTTCCTTTTAAAATTATGTAAACCTAAAAAAAATGAAAAAAAAAACTTGTATACACTTAAATAGTATAATATATTTTAAAGTAGAGTGTTGACAGCTCCTCCAGGACTAGTGGTCCTGAGGAGTCCCATTTTGATATTGCTCAGACTTATCAAGATTGTTTTTGTTTTCCTGTTGAAAACTTATCAACAAGCGTCTCCCCCTCATGACAACGTGAATTTTCTTGTCACTACAAAAGACGATGATAATCTTTTTTTTTTTTGGTAAGAGACGATGATATTGTGGAAGTAATGAAGTTTTTTTTGTTCTTGTTTGTTTGTGTAGTTCAACACATTTCAAAAATAAGTAAATATACAATAAAGGTGTGATTAGAGATGTTGGCGCCAACATTATCAACATTATTTGGAACAAGTATAAATATCTAATTTTTGGAACCAAAATATTTGTCAGAATTTCGTATATGCATGGAGATTAATAATTTTCTCGTGACTAATATAATATGGGCTTTGAACGAGAAGGCCCAAATACTATCTCAAGTCCAATAACTATGGTGCAGAAACGAGCCACTGTGCCGTGTGAATTAAAGGCGGAATCAGTGCGGCAGGTCTCCGGCGAGGACGTGCTCGTCGAAAATACCCCTCCGTCCTCATTCTCCGAAGGGTAATCCTCGAGCGAGATTTAAGCTCATCACATATCACTTTTCACCTCTTGCTTTCGTGGGCTCTTCTTCGATCGCTGTGCTCACTCAAAATTTTGGGTTTTGTTCCTTTTTCGCCTCTTTAAGATTGGGTTTAGACTGCGAATCGAAATTCGCAAGCCGTTTTTTTTTTTTTTTTTTTGAAGACTCTAATTTCGAGTCTCTTTTGTGTTCTGTCAGATATTCGTTAAAATAGTGAAGTTGAAGAGCTAAGAGCGAGCAAGTTATCATGGAAAGCGATAAAGAAGAGCAAATGGTTTTCTTGGATCGTACAACCCGAGCAACACGGGGCAAACGGTAAGAAAAACTCGAAACTAAGCTTCTACTTGATATTGTGTTTTCTCTCATTGTAAGATACCAGAACTCTGTTTTTTGAATCTTTATTTTATTAATTTTCTGTTTGCAGAATGACCAAGCTGCTTGATGACGAAGTAGAAGAGGATGAACAATTTTGGAATCAAGAAGCTCTGAAAGAGGTTTTTCCTCGATATATCTATCACACTCTTTTCTTTGTAATTTTTCGTTATTAGAGATGGAAATTTTATTTCAGAAACTTTGTATGCATATTGTTATTAATATATACCTTTTCACCTTTGCTATCTGCAGGAAGAACATGACGATAACTATGAAGCAGAAGCAGAAGTTGCTGATGAGTTTGACAGCGACTTCAATGACGATGTATTTACGTGGTGATTGTATATTCAGTAGTTATTCGTCGAAATATTGCTTGAATCCCAAATTTTTGAATTTCTTTCTTTTGCCTTTTTTTCTAGGAGCCTGAACCTGATGCAGTAGCAGAAAATGAAAAGGAAGAGAGGTTTGACCATGCTCAAAATTCACCTTTTGATTGCAATAATGTATATTTTTTATTTCATGCAGTTTGTGTATTGTTGCAGGGATATGCCAAAGAAGCGGCTGATTTACCCTGGTAAAACCGCTCCAAAGAAAAAGAAGAAGAAGAAGTTAGTTTCGACACTAGAAGATACTCTTGAAGGTGAGAAACCTGGTGACGAAGTGGGAGACAAGGAACAAGATGGAAAAGAACAGAATGAAGCACAAGAAGACATGGAAAGTGAGAAGGTCATAAGAAAATCTACGCGGACTTCAGTGATTGTACGGCAAGCAGAAAGAGATGCATTGCGTGCTGCTATACAGGCGACAACAAAGGTTTTCCCAGGATTCCTCTAAATTACCTATTTTCAGTATTAATCTTTTTAAAAAGTTTACCAATTCGTTTTCGTGCTTGCTTGTTCAGCCAATACAAAGGAAAAAAGTAGGGGAGGAAAAACGGATGACCCAAGAAGAAATGCTGCTGGAAGCTGCTCAAACAGGTTTGGGTTTATGATCCTGCATTCGTTTTTTCATGCCAGAAGCTTAAATGGCTAAAGTCTGGGTTTTTACAGAGATCATGAACTTGAGGAATTTAGAACGTGTCTTGGCAAGGGAAGAAGAAGTAAAAAAGAAAGCGATTGTGCATAAAGTGGTCTACAAGGGTCCTCAGATTCGGTATCTTTCAAAAGATGGTAAGCTCTCCAGTAAAATACTCTTCTCATCTAAATTTAAATGCAAGATGCAACTATTTAAAGTGTCCACCTTTACATGCAGGATGCAACTATTTAGAATTCTGTAATGGTGCATCGTTCAGTTCAGAGCTTTCGACGAAGTCGGTTCCATGTCAGTAATTTTGTTTGTGTAGTATTCGGAGATGAACATAAATGTGTTCCATTACCTGTTATCCGTATTGATGTCTTAGTTTGTTTTCTCTTTTGCAGATCCAGAAAAAGCTGTATGTGTGATTACTGGATTACCTGCCAAGTAAGAATTTTTCTGCTCTTCTACTTTATCCCGTGGAAAACACAAAGATCTCGTGGAACGAACACAACTAGATTCTTTTTAGCTATCGGTTTCTTTGTTTTCTTCTAGCAAAGAAACTATGTTCTAGCCAAGCACCCTGATTGTCTTTTTCTGCAACTTAGGAGTTCTTAGTTGTTGTTTATCGGTGATACAGGTACCGAGATCCAAAAACTGGTCTTCCATATGCAACTAGAGAAGCCTTTAAAGCGATACGAGAAAGGTAACATTTGATCCAAATACTGTTGCATCTTAGATTTCATCTTACAGAAGTGTTGATTCGTTGTTTCCTCTAGCGGATCAAAATGATTCTCATTCTCTTGCTGTAATCAGGAGAAACACGGCTACACATTACTCTTTTTCACTTTTGTGTGAGAATCTAATGTGTTCCAAAACGTCTTATGTTTTTGGTTCTCTGAAGGTTCATGGACGAACAGAATGGTTTGAGAAAGAAAATGGAGATGGGAGATTTGTTTGATACACTTGTGGTGAAAGGATTTGCTGTAACACAAAAGCGAACAAAGATTCCCAAGAAAGACAAATCATTTTCCCACATAAACTCAGCTCGTTTCTGTAGATTCGAGTCTCCAGAAGAGAGTGAAGAAGATTCAGATTCAGATTAATAAGAGAAATTTTGATCTTCTAAATCGAGAGAGAAAGTGTAATCTTCTAAATTTTGTTTTTCCTTGCAAATCCATGTAATGTACATTGGATAAATATTTTTTTGTTTAATATTACTTCGATTCAGTCAATCCAAAGTCCAAACACCAAGACTAAAACCGATTTGAAAATTTGGAACGCTTAGTGAGTGCATAATTTGTCACTTGGCGATTTCTCAGAGTGCAGAATTTGCCATCACAAGTGACGTAAAAAATATGGTTCTTAGTTCAGAATCAACCGCCAAAATTATAAATTCAAGCTTCAAATCCAAGAAACACCAATGCCTAGTCTTGCTCAAGCTCTGTTCCTCCATTAAACATCTTTTACAGATCCATGGCCAAATCCATGTCTCCGCTCTCCAAGCTGACAGCTTTATCATCAGCGAGCTTATACGGGTATCTTCACTATCTCACGCCAAAGACCTTTCCTTTGCGCGAACCCTTCTGCTTCACTCTTCTGATTCGACTCCTTCCACTTGGAATATGCTTAGCAGAGGCTACTCTTCAAGTGATTCCCCTGTAGAATCGATTTGGGTTTACTCTGAGATGAAGAGACGAGGAATCGAACCCAACAAGCTCACTTTTCCTTTTCTTCTAAAGGCTTGCGCTTCCTTTTTCGGTCTCACGGCGGGGAGACAGATCCAAGTTGAGGTTTTGAAACATGGGTTTGATTCTGATGTGTATGTTGGGAACAATCTGATTCATCTCTATGGCTCTTGTAAGAAAGCTTTCGATGCCAGAAAGGTGTTCGATGAAATGACCGAGAGAAATGCTGTTTCTTGGAACTCCATCATGACTGCTCTCGTCGAGAACGGTAAGCTCAGTTTGGCGATTGAGTGTTTCCTCGAGATGATCCGTGGTCGGTTTTTTCCGGATGAGACGACAATGGTGATTTTGCTCTCTGCTTGTGCCGGTAACTTGAGCTTGGGGAAATTGGTGCATTCACAGGTGATGGTAAGAGAGTTAGAGTTAAACTGTAGACTGGGTACTGCACTTGTCGACATGTATGCAAAATCTGGTGGATTAGAGTATGCTAGGTTTGTTTTCGAAAGAATGTATGAGAAGAATGTTTGGACTTGGAGCGCGATGATTGTAGGATTAGCACAAAATGGATTTGCAGAAGAAGCCCTTGAACTTTTCTCTAAGATGATGAAGGAATCATCGGTGAGACCAAACTACGTGACATTTCTCGGTGTTTTCTGCGCTTGTAGCCACACGGGATTGGTGGAAGACGGGTACAAGTACTTCCACGAGATGGAGAAGATACACAAGATCAAGCCAATGATGATTCACTACGGGGCAATGGTGGATATCTTGGGACGTGCAGGTCGACTAAACGAGGCGTATGACTTCATAAAGAAAATGCCTTTTCAGCCTGATGCGGTTGTTTGGAGGACTCTACTCTCGGCTTGCAGTATCCATCACGATGAAGATGATAAAGGAATTGGAGAGAAAGTGAAGAAGAGACTGATTGAGTTAGAGCCATATAGGAGTGGTAATTTGGTGATTGTGGCGAATAGGTTTGCGGAAGCGAGGATGTGGGACGAGGCAGCAGAAGTTAGGAGAGTGATGAAGGAAAGTAAGATGAAGAAGATTGCCGGAGAGAGTTGTCTGGAGCTGGGAGGGTCAGCTCATAGATTCTTCTCAGGATATGATCCTCGTTTTGAGTATGTATCCATCTATGAGTTATTAGATTTGTTCAAGTTGCAGTTGGCAAGTGACAATCATTTGGTGTCTACTGATACGAATTCATCTTTTTAACTTCTCTTCTTGTCCACTACAAAGGCTTTGAATGGGATACTGTGTTTGAGTAACTGTATATAAGGACCATCTGTATTTTATTTACCATTCATGTCCTAAAAAACACAAATCAAAATTAGAATAAAAAATGATAATCTGCATGCAGATCTATATTACTCTTCATACTGAATAAAAAATGGACTGCATCATTTTTGGACATGTTCACCCACTTTTGTATTTCTTTTATATTTTTTAATTATTTTATTAATTTATATTTATATTTTTATTGATATGCATAATCTGCTTTATTTGCATTGATTCTGCATGATCTGCATAATCTGCATGATATGTTCTCCATTCAAAGCTAAATTGTAGGTTTCTTAGGTTTTGGGTTGGGTCTTGGTTATTTGGTCTCGAATTATTTGACCAAATTCGATTTATATAAAATTTGGATCAAATTTTTTATATTATATATTAGGTTTGAATTGTTTGGATCGTAAATAATTTGACCAAAATAAACTTATATCTAATTTTTTTAAATTGTTTAGATCTAATATTAGGTTCAGTTATTGAATATTTACACAAATAATAACATCTAAAGTAAATTTTGTAATAAATAAAAATAATTTAAAAAATCTAGAAATAAAAGAAAATCATTATCCTTGGTTTAGTAGATTTAAAAAAAAAAACAAAAGAAATTCTTTACATTTATGTTTAGCAATGTATGTACTATAAAAATAATATCTATAAAAATAATATCTATAAAAATAAATTTGGATTTTATTTGGGTTTTTTTATTATCTAATGACCAATTGAAATAATCTAAACTCAAATTAGTAAAAATTATTAGATTTAATAGGTTTGTATAGAAATTCATATCCAAACTAAATGAGTTTAATTGGATTGGATTGGGTTAAATTGAGTTTGATTGCTTAGATTGGTCACTCCTCCCAGTGGCAATCAAAATGTGTAGGGTATTTGATAAGCACAATAAAAAAGCGGAAAAAAATTTGGTTTGTAATAAAGGTTTTGATAAGTATATAAGAATGCATTGTTTTGTCTTTTTTATCATCTTTTACTTAATGTTTACATATCTAAGATGCATTAAACCCCTAACACATATCAATAAGAGCTGATCTGGTCTTCTTTGTTTAGCCACTCATCTCCATCAATGTATGCAATGGTGGTGAATGCAGATGCCTCGGAATCCGACAGTTGTTTCGCATATGAAACTCGATCTCTATACTTGGATCCTTCTCCGTAGCATCGATGTTATCCGTAGCATCGATGTTCTCCAAATGTCATCGTCCTGCAAAATCAAACGCATTTAGGCATAAGTTAAACTTTGTGTGTGTGTTTGTTTGTTTTCCAGTTCCATCAATAGTGCAGTTAACAAAGGAGAATCCCGACTTCTCAGTTTTTTGTTTGTTTATTTTTGCTATATATATTTTGCTTTTTCTTGTTCATTTTTGCTCATGTTTAGCTCAAAAAATGATACATTTATATATATATATATATATATATATCTTGAATGCAGACTTTGGAATCAGTGAGTAGTTTCGCATATGAAGAGTTTATGTAGTCATGTGTATATCTTAGGAATAAAATTTGAACTAGAATACAAAATATTGCATACCCGAAAGCTTAGTTTAGTTATTTGATGTTATTTACGCATTTTGCAAGTTGAGAAGATACAATATGTCAAGTCATCGCATACGTACGATCCATCTTAGGATTTACGAACTTTCATATATGTATTATTAATATATTCATTATATTAAAGATGATTAATGAAAATCGTCCCATATGGCCATATTCCTAAAGTAAGCGAGAAAGTATAAAGTAAAATGATTTATGACAATATGATATAACTTGTGGAGTATGATTGTGGCTGAAGTGAAAGAGTAGCCAATGGAAATATGGCATATCCCTTGGAAGATTCCCTGTTTCTCAACCATTTATATTTATTTCTTTCAAATATAGAGCTAGAGTGTAAAATATCATCATCCGATATATATAACTTTATATAAATAAAATATATATAATTGATAATTCAATATTCAAATCGAATATAAGAAAATTGTGTTAGCGTACAAGGGAGATATGTGTATACAAGAGACATGGATATATGTATGTTAGTATAGTCTATATAGAAAGCAGAAAAGCATCATATGAAACACTCTCCACAACACCCAAACATGATGGTGGTGTAGGCTCTTCTCTGAAGAACCTCAATACCTCAGGAAGTTGGAACCCGCTGTATTAACTAGCGGGTTATTTTATGTAAATAGGGAAATTCAGATCCTTTGGCATTTCCTTGATGTGGGATTGTAGAAGAAGATGTGTGTGTCTTCTTCCCTTTGAGACTTTTGTTCAAATTGTGTCGGTTCAAAGTCTCACTTCTTCTGGTTTGAATTAAGTACCTCTTTTGTCTTCGACTCTCTTTCCTTCTATGTTTGTGTAAGCTTGATGATTACTACCTTATAGTGTATGAGTTGATGCTGAGTTTTTAATTTTAATGTCTACACTATTGTTATTCAACTGTGAGTTTAGTGCACAATATACCTATTGTGTTACCACTCCAATTCAATTGAAGTTGAAAATGGTCATATTGTGTTGAAAATATGCGACCTAAGACTTAATTGTTTAGAATAAAAGAGTATTTGTCAATGACCATTTTTTCTGTTGGATCTATTTGCTTACCTCTACCTCCCTTCATAAAAGTAGCGTATCATTACTCTATTCATTCTACAAAAGATGAGTAATGAAATCGTATTCTCATTAGTCATTACTCATTAGTATCGTTATTGTGTTACCACTCCAATTAAATTCAAGTTGAAAATATGCTACCTAAGACTTAGAATTATGTTAATGAAGATTTTTTTTTTTTGGTTGGATCTCTAGCTTACCAATTTTTCCCTTCATAAAAGCATATAATTAAGAATGAACAAACACAAAATTCATGATGAGATTTTCCAGAAATGAAACGGGTGATTGTCTTTCTTATTCTTCTAGTCTGGTTTAAAATTTAATGATAATAATAGGATGCGACGGAAAGGCAATGTATATACAATTCCTTTTATATAAAGGAAATTCGTATTGAATAAAACTTTTACAGAACAACCTAACTGTGTTGTAACAAAAACAAAATATGAATACATTGATTCGACCAATTAGTTTCAGTTCCATGACTAAATTATAAACTTTCACCACCAATATGAAAGTGGGATGGAGGACAAGTATACAATTTTTCATTTTATTATTTTTAAAAGATAATAATAAAAAGTACTGTCAGCAAGAGATGTTGGATCGAGTATTATACAAACATCATATATATTGTTATAAATTAGTTAAATAGATCATAATTTTGTTGCTGTTCTAGTTTAATCGTCACATGAGCATACTGAACGCTACTCACCCGCTTATCCCAAAACTGTACACAAATGGAAGCATAAACGGTGTTTTGAGAAAAATGGAAACGCTATTATGGGCCTTGGGCCCTATTTCATCCTCTTGAAGAAATACCCTTAATTATATCTATATTTTACGAAATGTGCCACTGCTCTGTAGACTGTAATTTACTGTATTTTTCTCTATCTTCTTCCCAATGGCTGCAAAATCCTAATAGCCCACTCCTCAGGATTTTGTTTCACCACCGTCGTGCAGATCCATGTATGAAGCCTCACCTAAACCCTAATTCAGTCATCGATTTCGAGATTCGATCGGATGTTAACTACTAATCCTGAATTTGCCGCCGTTTTAACTTCCAACGTAAATCAACTGGTTTTAAGATTCCTCTAAGGTTCGCTTCGTTTTTCTCTATACCAGATTCAATTTTTTTCGAGAAGATACCCTTTTTGAATGCCATGGTTTTTTCGATTGATTGCTGAATCTATTCGTCACTAGTTCTTCATTTTTTTTTATTTTAAGTTTGCTTCTCCTTCTTTTCTGTTCTGAGTAGATTTCGTTACGGGTTTTGCTGTGGAGAAGATTTGTTGCAATGAAGGAAGAGTGTGTGCCTGGGTCTATAGGCGGCGGGCAGCTCTGCGGTGGCGGGATCAGTTCGGTTTGGGAATCTCCGGTTAAGCGGATGGCTTTAGACGGTGCGTGTGGGGAGGGTGGTGACAGGAGTAGGACTAGCTGTAAGAGAATCAAAACGACTCAGGTCAATGGTTTTATTGTTTACACCAGAACTAGGAGGACTAAATTCACCAAGCTTAATGAAGAAGATGAAAATGGTGGCTTATCAGAAATTAGAATGTCAAATCATCTCGAGGATTCAAAACCAACCACTGGCGGTACAGTTTCCTCAGGTGATATGTGTCACAACAACTCGACAGCTGAAACTAACATCACTGTGAGTTCATGTATTAACAATACACTCGTTGAGAGCTCCGTCGAGAAAGTTGCTATGGAAGAGCGCTTAGTTACTGGCAGCTTAGCTGGAAGCCTGGGAATTGAGAAGTTAAAAGAAGTGGATACTAAGTCTGGCAATAGCTCATTAGTCGATGTTGTAATTGATGACATCCAATTTGTAGAAATTTTACATGAAGCCATTCCAGTAGAAATTCTGCCAGAAGGAAGCCTGGATTTTGAGGTAGGGAGAGTAGGAACTAAAGGCAGAGCCATTAGGAAACCCTATTGCGCGGCAGAGAAGAATAGGCATGGATCTTTAAAGCGTACGACACAGATCTATAAATCGTTTTTAAGAGTGAAGAAGGTAAACAATTTAGTGCCTGGGGATGCAGAGGTTTTGGCAGAATCAGACTTTGACCGTGAGGGGTTAGATGAAGAGACTCGTTCTATGAGTCTGGCTGATATGTCCAATGTAATCCGCAAAAGGCCAGGAACAGTGAGGGAGCTTTTTGAGACCGGTATACTCGATGGTGTGTCGGTGGTTTACATGGGTACTGTCAAGGTTGGGATATTCTGTTTTTTTTTTGTATGCTTTTGTGACCATTTCATTCTAGCTTAGTCTAAGAAGTGATTTCTTTATGTTCCAGTCTCAAGCCTTCGGTCTCCGTGGCATCATTAAAGATGGTGGAATTTTGTGTTCCTGTTCCTCCTGTGATTGGGCTAATGTAAGACTCTGTTTCCACTCTGCAACTCAGAATGCAGGTTGATTTTGATGATCTCTAGTAATTCTGTCAGACATACTCTGGTATACATAAACACATTTTTTTGTAGGTTATTTCAACTTCCAAGTTTGAGATTCATGCTAGTAAGCAATACAGACGAGCATCACAATATATTTGCTTCGAGAATGGTAAGAGCCTGCTAGATGTTCTGAAGATTTGTAGGAACGCACCTCTACATTCTCTTGAGGCAGCAATTCTTGATGCTGTTGATAGTGTATCTAAAGAAAAATGTTTCACCTGTAAAAGATGCAAAGGTGGGTCTGTTACCGTATTTCTCTCTAGCTTGTTCTAAAATGTAAGAATTTCTTAGATTTTCTGTCAAATTGATCAATGCCTGTGGTTTTCAGGCGTGTTTCCTTTATCCTCTCTTGGCCGTAGAGGGTTTCTGTGTTTGTCATGCGCAGAGGAAGAAAGTTCTCAGGCCAGCCCTGCTGCTACAAGGACCTCAACTAGTGCTCCTGCATGCAGAACATCTCCGGTTAAGAGTAGACTGAAGATAAAAAGAAAGTTGGTAACCTTTATTCTATGTACTCTTAGTCATGAGGTGTCTCTTCTTCGGTTTAGATTTCCATTTTATTGTTTGGCGAAAAATGATTTTCGTTGGGCATCAATATTCAGTTCAGTGCTGTCTTGTTTGGCCTTTTCAGGCCAGCAGAATCCACGTCAAAATATCCTGTATCTATATCACCATTTGGGCATAGCACTCAAAAGATCACAAAAAAGTTGGTACCATTTTGTTGTTTTACTGTTGTATATCTTGCATCTTCATCAATCATTGCATGAAGAAACTATACTCTTCTAGACCATTAGATAGGAATCTATTTGCAATTTTGTCGTAGCTTAGGCATGCTATATATACTGCATGTCCTTTCTTTCTTGAATCTGGTCATCAAATATTAATCATCACCTTGCGTCTCAGGGCATTACGTCAAGCTTTGGTTGGGAAGACTCTCAGTGCTTCTACAAATATATCTTCACAAAATAAGTGTAGATCTAAATTTAAGAAAATGTTGGTATCTTTACTTTATGGTGATGATAGCCAAACTAACAGTGATGATAAAGAGTCTGGTTTTGATGTGTCTGGTTTCCTTGTTTTTCTTGAAGGTTGGCCCAACATTCCGTGACCCCTAAGGCTTTAAAAAGCGTGTCCCTTTCTGTTTCTTCAAAAAAGAGGAGTTGCAGAACAACGAGAAAGTTGGTTTCAATTATTTATAGCAACCTTACTTTCGTTTATTCTGGCTGGTTTCCGTCTGTTTTGTTTTACAGATATCTCCCTTTTCATACAGGGATCAAGGATTGCATAAGTTTGTGTTTGAGAAAGGTGGATTACCAGATGGAACTGAACTAGGATACTATGCCCGTGGACAGGTTACATACCTTATCCTATGTATTGTTATATCCCTCTTCACTTGGCCTTCTCTTTAAGACATAATATCACTGTCGGCAGAAATTGCTCGGAGGCTATAAAATGGGTGGTGGAATATACTGTTACTGCTGCAAGTGTGAGGTAGTTTAAAATATAATACACACTACATTATGCCGTATCAGTCAGTTCTTAATTTGGCATTTTGCGTGCAGGTGAGCCCCTCTCTGTTCGAAGCTCATGCAGGCTGGGCATCTCGTAGGAAACCGTGCGAATTTGCTCCTCTGTCTCTTTTACATTGGATTTTTGGCATTCCCTAAATGTCTGATTATTCTCTATTTGTTGCAGTTATTTTTACATATATACATCTAATGGTGTGTCTCTTCACGAATGGGCAATTACTTTCTCACAAGGTCGGAAATATTCTGCTAATGAAAATGACAACTTGTGTGTTATTTGTGCTGATGGTGGAAATCTTTTGCTCTGCGATAGCTGCCCAAGAGCCTTCCACATAGGTAAAGCTGTACTGAAATCACTTTTGCAGCATGCTTTCACTTTCTTTCTCTATCTCTCTTCTGATTTTGCCTCTACTTCGGTACCTACACTTGTTGGTAAAATATTGTATGCAGGATTAGTTAATTGTATGATTGTAATACTGATCTAGAAATGGATATGAGTATATCTACTAGCAGGATCACTTCGAAAAACTTTTGCAATTTTAGCTACTTTGCTGAATTTCGAATTAAGTTACGGTTTGTTGACATTCTTATCTTTTGGATCACTGTATTAAGATTTTCGATCACATTTATCTTGTCTTTGTAGAATGCGTTTCCCTTCCAAGTATTCCTCGTGGTAACTGGCATTGCAAATACTGCGAGAAAAAGTTCAAGAGTGAAACTGTTGGAGAGTACAATGTTAATTCTTCTACAGCTGGTCAACTAGAAGGAGTTGATCATGTTGATCAATTAGCTGGACGATGCATTCGAGTTGTCAAGAACATGGAAGCTGAAACAAATGGGTGTGTACTATGCAGGTGATCATTTTGACCGAGTCTAAATTCTTCTTCCTATTAATGTGCTGTATGCTAAATTATTTGTCTACTCTGTCCTTCGAGTTACATGGGTATCACCTGTACTGAGAGACAGTCAGGTCTATCTTAGAATTAATTGTTTCATAAGACCATTAAGTCTATGTTAGAGTACTATCATACCTGTTTTGACAGACCAGTAGGTCTATGTTAAAGTGTCATAGAATCATAGGTTTTGATGTATTAATCGCCTTTTGTATCTCTGGCTAACATTAAACGGATAAACTAATCCAAGATATATGTGTTAATTATCTTAGCTGATCATTTGTTTTGTCCACAGTGGTTCTGATTTTTGCAGATCCGGATTTGGGCCACGGACAATCATAATATGTGATCAGGTACTTCTCAATCGTGGCAAGATCTTAAATTATATTAATTTATACTTTGCATATCAAAGTAATTACTACTGTTACTTATCTCTATTTTGCAACAGTGTGAAAAGGAGTACCACATTGGATGTCTGAGTAGTCAGAACATTGTGGATTTAAAGGTGACCGCATATAGCTTTATCCCCAGCTTCAATCTTCTACGTTTGTGCACAGATTAGATCAATACCTATACATTGTCTACCTTGATTTCAGCTTACACGGGGTGCTATGATTTTCTGACAGGAATTACCTAAAGGAAATTGGTTTTGCTCTATGGATTGTACGAGGATCAACTCCACATTGCAAAAGTTACTTCTTGGTGACGCGGAGAAGCTTTCAGATTCTTCTTTGGATATAATACAGATGAAGCAAGAAAGAACTGGTGGTGATCCCGTCGGTCATCTTGACATCAGATGGAGACTGATAAGTGGCAAAGTTACTTCTCCTGAAAGCCGAATGTTGCTGTCTCAGGCATTGGCTATTTTTCACGTAAGTGGCTTTTGCAGTTCAAAATCTATAATTTATTATCATCGCGATTCCTTTGTTTCGATCTGATAATTGGTATAGTAAGACAAAGGACGAATTGCGGTAGCCATGGCTACTTCTCTTTCCATTAAATATGGCCGAAAAAAATATGGGGCAGGGTAACTAGCAGAATACATTACCTACTCACAATAGGACAAGGAAAGTTGCATAGGTCTACATCAAGTATAGTTACTTAAAAACTTCAATCATGTATATATATTATCATCTTGATCTGGTTAGTATGTACGAATAACTCTATTTCTATGCCTACAAGTTGAACCAATGTAATTCATAACATGAATAACAATTACCCTCTTCTGTAAGATTTGTCCAACTCCGAAATGGCGCTACCTTTACATCCCTTTATGTCTTTAATGGAATCATCATATGACAAACGTTTGTCTTCATAAATTTGGCTCAGATCATTTGAATTTACTAAACGCTACGATCGTGAGTCTTTTTTCCAGGATTGCTTTGATCCTATAGTTGATCCAGTTTCTGGGCACAATCTTATTCCGAGAATGGTTTACGGGTGAGGACTCTTCTAGCAATGTCTGCTTCATGTAGCCTAACTTTGATCCCTTTAAACAGTTATAGTAATATCAATATCAATTACAAGTGCATTTCTGGTTTAGGAAGAGTATGCAAGGACAAGACTACGGGGGAATCTGCTGTGCTGTTTTGACTGTGAAGTAAGATTTCTTTCCTCGATTCCATCTACCAGATGCCATATATTGTTATTTCGTTTAACCATTGATTTTGCTTTTTCCGCTGCTAATTTATGTAGTGCAACTGTTGTTTCTGCTGGACTACTACGAGTATTTGGCCGAGAGGTTGCAGAACTCCCATTAGTTGCAACACGCATGTGCAGCCGAGAGAAGGTAATGTCTTCTTCTCCCTTTAAAAACCATATCTAGAAAATGAATTCTGTTTCCTGGTTGACCTATGAGGTTCCTTGCTTAACCGAGTTTCATGGGTTTTTACACAAATAGGGCTACTTTCAATTGCTCTTTTCCTGCGTTGAGAAGCTGCTCTCATTCCTGAATGTCGAAAGCATCGTTGTTCCAGCTGCTGAAGAGGCAGAGCCCTTATGGATGAACAAATTTGGGTTCAGAAAACTCGCACCTGAACAGGTATAAACGATGGACTTGACGCATTTGTGAAGTGTATAGTTTCTGAATAAATTTTATCCTAATAGAATCTCATAACAATTAAACCCTTCACTGCTTCAGCTCAGCATGTACATAAAGGTGTGCTACCAAATGGTGAGGTTCAAAGGAGCATCCATGCTTCAGAAACCGGTTCATTCACACCAAATCATTGACAAGAATATCGAAACCGGCGTATCTTTAGAAGGAAAATTTGATATGAAACAGCCTAAGGTGGAAGATGGATCAATGAATTCTTACAAAAGACTTCTGTAAATTTTTGTAGATGCGAAGCTAAGGTCTTTTTGTTTACTTTTTTTTTAGTGTCATAATTTACCTTTTGTTCAATTGGGATAATTTAGTTAATAACCAATTTTCGATAATTAAGAAAGAAAATATCTATGCAATTGTCATAATTAAACAAGTAACACTTTGAATGTTATTATGACAAAAATACCTTTATGAATATTTACGACAAATTATCATAGCATATTAAGATATAAAGAGCTTCTACAAAATAGATGTTTTATACAACTTCAAGAATGTCTTTCAATAACAAAATAAAAATATCTCAACTAAATTACACAAATGTAAGAAAATAATATTTTATACACATAAAAATATTGTCTAATACTAAAACAAACAAAAAATAAATGTTTTATTTAAATGTAGTGGTCTAAAGAAGAGAAAATTTTGTCGCACGTAGAATATACATAAGTTAGTACAGATAATCTATGTATTTTTGTATAGACCAATTTTAAAACTATATTACATATCAAAATGTGAAATACAAATTACAGATAATATTGGTACAAAAAAAAATTATATAATAGTATTTGTTAGGTATAATAGATTGGGAGAGGAGATGAGTACTATATGGAAAAAAAATATAGTGAGATATTTCACATAAATATTCTATACATGTTGTCATTTTTATTTAATTTGTTGTCAGAAACCAAATTATATAAAATAGACGTTCTATAAACAGATTAAACTAAAACTTCAATACTATTCCATTATAGTGTTTCTGTATAATTCCTTAGATGTATATATTTTTTAAAAAAAAATTGTCCATTTATAAAAATTCAAACTATGGAATATACCTGAAAAAATCTATATTTTCTAGTGATATCACAAATTTGAATTAATTTTTTTTAAAAAAATATTCGAAGCATATAAGATAAGAAGGGAATGAAAAAAAAAGAAAAAAAAAAAGAAAGAGAAAGATGAGAAAGGGAAGATGATAAGTGGTTATAATTGGTTAAGGGTAAACATTCTCATATTATATAAGATATACAGAATAGTTTAACCATATTTTTAATATGGTTATATAGTTAATTATAATTTTTTGGTGGTTATTAAATGCAATTTCCCTTGTTCAATTTGGGAGAGAGAAAAAGTTTCAGTCTCTACCAATACTTTCATTTTCTAAGAAAGTTGTTCTAAAAATGAATAGCAATTATGGAACAAAGAGGGTTTAGACTTAATGGTACAATCAACATAAAAACAAATTTAATGAAAGCATTTCGTTTTCATTGGAGTGTAGATGAAACTATAAGTAGCTAATATCTATCTATCGGATGAGTATACTTTTATTTTAGAAATGATTTAATTTTTGCCCCTACTCTCTAAAGACTGTAGAGGAATGATCGGTGAACTACCCAAAATGCACATTTACTTTAACGAAAGCCATTGAAAGATGCGTCAATTCCGTCGTTAAGAAGTGTCAACAGGTATAAACGATGTGATTTGTTTAAGAAACAGAATGGATTATATATATATTATAATTACTATAATTACTCTAGGAATTATATACTGTTATCTTTTTTAAGACTCATATACTATAATTTTATCCAAGAGTCCATTGATTTCATCTTTGTCAATAGAAGATCAATAGTTGTTCAAGAAATCAAATTTTGTTATCAATTTTGAACAAAACATAAGCAAAAATTGAGCAAAAATGAATAAAAAAAAAATAATAAAAAATAAGCAAACAAAAGACTGAGAAGTCAGAATTATCTTTTGTCAACTACAGGATATATGGAATTAGGTTTATTTGGAATGAAAGCAAGTAGTGCTGTTCTTATGTTGTTTGTGAAAGAACACTGCTCCCGCACCAAATCCCGGTGAAAAGGGTGGACAAGCGCTGGCTATAAAGGTTGTAGGAGACAAATGTGCTTTTTATGGTTGTGGTTTTTATGGGCATCAAGACACCCTTCTAGACCAAGAAGGACGGCATTTCTACAAAGATTGCTTCATTGAAGGATCCATAGATTTCATTTTCGATAATGCAAGGTCGCTATATCAGGTACACTAGTGTCTTGGTTAATGTTTCCGCACATAAATATTTACGTTTAGATTAACGATTTGAAAACAACACAAATTGTAAGACTGCACAATTAACTCGGTCGCAAAGGAAAACACACTCGGGTGTATCATTCACGGCAAATGGAAAAGGGTCACAACTGAACGAACGGGGTTTGCTTTTGTGAACTGCAAGATTAAAGGAAGTGTGAATGTGTGGCTCAGACGAGCATAAAGGGCGTATGCTACGGTTGTTTTCTCGAGAACATATGTCCGGAGTTGTTTCCTAGATCCCTGGAATGATATGGGAGATCACACGAGACAAAGGTTTGTTAACATGCAAATAAGTTGGAAAAGTATTTCTCTCAATGTTTTAATCAGGTTTAATTTTTCAGGACGGTCAACAAAAAAAAGAACCAAACATGTTTCATCATCAATATATATCAATTGAACAAGATCCATTGATCCATTGATCCTATGTATTATGTATCAATTAAACATTATTCAGTTATTCCACAAAGTCAGTCATCCCACGATATTAATGACTTGAGGTATAACCCAAGCAAAAATAAATAATTAATGGAAACATCTTTTTCGACTATAAACGATACGATATCATCAACTGGCCGTTTATAGAGAATGATTATTAGCCACATGTTTCGACAAAGCTAGGATATATCATATCCTGATAAAAAATCTGAAGGAAAAAAACATCTATTGCAAATTCGTGTGCCATAAGATTAAGCAATTGCTATACAAACGTTAGCACAATACCAGTTGTCAATTACTTGTATGATCTCTTGTGATCTTTTAGATTAGGAAGTTAGATAATTTCCTAGTTGTATAAACACGTATGATCGATATCCTTGAATGATTATTTAGACATTTCTTCGTATGACATAAATAGCTTTGTGTTTTTTCTTCTTTCACTTTAACCATATGACGTAAATCTGTAACACAAATTAATTCACCTCAAATTTATTCACATTAGAAAGAATAAAATGGTGGTTACACTTATATTAGACGGTGATCATGATCAATCTTGCGTGATTCAAGGAGATTTTTTCATTTGGGTTCGCGAGATGATACATATTGAAGAAAAGTGGCGAAATACGTGTCCATATACTGCGGTGGGTTCCGTTCGTCGATGAGCTTCAGTGATGGCTTCACGACGGACGTAAACGGGAAGCTGTGTAGCGACGCCACCGATATCCTAGGCTTAGTGGAATTCACCAATACCCTATGTAACACGCTTTTGTACCTCTCGTTGCTAAATATCTACATATACAATAAACATATTTTAATTTATAATCATCATATCAACAACAAACAGAGCTGAGGAAAGAAAAACAAATTTGATGTGCTAATCACTTTAAATATCATTCTTAATGAGTAAACGAAAAATCTGAGTTAATTAACTTGAAACTAACTTTTGTAGCGTTAAGACTATATTCAATAATGTTATAATTCTCAACATTTTGGTATAAGAATGTTTTCTCTTAAGGATCAACATTTCGAATATATGATTTAACGGTTCAATTATAATATTTCATCATCCCTTTGCTATCCCTCAATTTTCAAATATGAACTATTTTAGAGACAAGTGACACACCCAAAAATGATCAAAATCAAGTAATATTGGTCCCATATATATCATCAAATCTATTATATGTAGTCAAAACTTAGGCAGTTCTACAAACTTTCCCTTGTCTTCACCGTTGACCTGAATGGCTGTGGGAATTTCAGTACCATTCAGAGTGCAGTAGACGCTGTCCCTGAATCAAGCCTTTCCAAGACTCTCATCTTCATCAACTCAGGCGTTTACAGGTTATCTATTCAATCTTCTTCATCAGTTTCTTCTTCTTCTTCTTCATTATTTTCTGCTCCTTCTTCATCTTTGATTGCAATATTTTGTATTCTAGTTCAAATTTTTTTCCTAAGATATACACATAACTTCCTAAACTTTTTAAACATTAGACGAATCACAATGTAACTTACTCTAGTGATGATCAATTATTAAGTTATTGATTTGATTTGTTTAAGAACCAGAATGGATTATATTTTATAATGACTACAATTACTCTAGTAATTATTTACTGTTATCTTTTTAAGACTCATATACCATATTTTACCCAAGAGTCCATTGATTTCATCTTTGTCAATAGAAGATCAATAGTTGTTCAAAAAATCAAATTTTGTTATCAATTTTGAACAAAACATAAGCAAAACATAAGCAAAAAATGAATGAAAATGAATGAAAATAGAATAAAAAAAATAAAAAACACAAATTGTATGACTGCACAATTAACTCGTTCGCAAAGGAAAACACACTAAGGTGTATCACTGCAAATGGAAAAGGGTTACAAACCGAACGAACCGGGGTTTGCTTTTGTGAACTGCGAGATTAAAGGAAGTGTGAAGGTGTGGCTCGGACGAGCATGGAGGGCGTATGCTATGGTTGTTTTCTCGAGAACATATATGTCCGGAGTTGTTTCCCCAGATGTCTGCCTGGAATGATATGGAAGATCACATGAGACAAAGGTTTGTCAACATGTATATAAGTTGGAAAAGTATTTCTCTCAATGTTTTAATTAGGCTTAATTTTTCAGGACGGTCTATTATGGAGAACATCGATGCTATGGACCGGGAGCGAATCACAGTGGAAGGGTTACCTATGCGAAGCAACTCACAGATGTGGAGGCTGCTCCTTTCACGAACATTACATTTATCGACGGAGATCAATGGCTTTAGAGCCAAGTAATCTAAGACAATTCTATAGCTGTTAAGAAGTACAAAACATATATGAAGTAGTTTATGTAAGACGAACATCTTTAACCAAAGTATCTACATCATATTATATATATGAATCACAATTGTTTGGTAGAAAGTAGTGACCGAACAGTTTTTCTCACTTGATGTCTCATGGGGAGGTATCATCAGTTTGTTGGCTCATGTACACAAACAATCAGGCATTGATTCCTTATTTATTGCATACATTCTATGACCATCACTTTATATAGCTTTGTGTGTTTTTTCTTCTTTCACTTTAACCATATGACGTAAATCTATATAACAAAATTTAATTCACCTTAAATTTATTAACATTAGAAGAAAAAATGATAGTTACGTTTATATAATTAGACGGTGATCAATCTTGCGTGATTCAAGGAAATTTTTCCACTTGGGTTCGCGAGAGGATACATATTGAAGAAAAGTGGCGAAATCGGTTTCCATGTACCGCGGTGGGTTCCGTTTGTCGATGAGCTTTGGTGATGGCTTCACGACGGACGTAAAGGGGAAGCTGTGTAGCGACGCCACCGATATCCTAGGCTTTGTGGAATTCACCAATACCCTATGTAACACGCTTTTGTACCTCCCGTTGCTAAATATCTACATATACAATAAACATATTGTTTAATTTATAATCATCTTATCAACAACAAACAGAGCTGAGAAACAAAAAAAAAAATGATGCGCTTATCACTTTAAATATTATTCTTAATGAGTGGCCGACGAAAAAATTTGAGTTGCCTCGAAACTTACTTTTGTAGCGATAAGACTATATTCAATAAATATTATAACTCTCAACATTTTGGTATAAAAATGTTTTATCTTAAGGATCAACATTTTCGAATTTATGATATAAACGGTTCAATGAGAATAATTCATCATCCCTTTGCTATCCCTCGAATTTCAAATATAAAGTTATTTAGACACAAGTCACACACCCAAAAATGATCAAAATCAAGTAATATTGGTCTCATATATATATATATATATCATAAAATCTATTACATAAAGTAATTTGGGCAAACAATAATAATGCATACTTGCATAGAATAATAATAATAATGATACCTCGAGGTGATCGCCGACGTTGACGACAAAAGAGCCAGGGATGGGATCAACAGTGACCCATTCGTCACGGAACAAAATCTGAAGTCCTTCGACGTCGTCTTGAAGGAGAAGCGTCAAGAAACCGTAGTCGGAGTGCGGTGGCATCCCTAGCGTCAGCTCCGGCTCCGGACACGGCGGATAACAGTTCACCACCATCAACTGACTTCCCTGTTCTAACTCCTCCGCCGCCTCGTCGTCTTCGCCGTCGATTTCAAGGCTCTCCAAGATTACTTTTACCATCATCTCAAACATCTCTTTCGTCTCTTTTGCGTAGGTAGCCGCCAAACTCCTGTTTTCATTTTTTTATAAAATATATTAGTCAGTATTACAAGGCTCATGTTGTATTTTATTTACAAAATACTGTATTAAATATTTGGAATGATTTATTAGTATGACGCGTGATATGTAACCCGTGACTATGGTGGTGGTGTAGATAGGAAGATAAGTAAGTGGTAGTATATGGACCTTTTCTTTCTTCTTTAATTAGTAGTTTTTTTATTACACCCATCTTTATAGATTCAGAAGCCGCCACTTATATATTTATTTTTTTAACTCAAATAATTTAATTGGGTATGCAATTTGTGACCAGAAGATAAAAAGTTGAGTTGGATGTACATGTACAAATTAAAAATTATAAAGTTATGTAATACTTGAACTTCTCTTCTGACTAATCCTTCAGGTGTAATTGAAATATTTCAATAGGTAATGTTGAACTACCTTTTTTAAGTTTAGTACATAAAAACACATGTGCTACTTTTCGTGAAGTTTTTTTTTTGTTGGAGTTTCAAAATTAAGATAAATATCTTCAGCAAACAAAAAAAGATAAGCCTATGACTAAATTAACTTTCCTGTTATTAAATGTAAAATGTGGGAAATCTCACCTGAAATCAGATGGAGAAGTGGGCCAATAAGGAAGATAATCAGGGAGAGGATGTGCAAGGAGTTTTAAGAAGTCTCTCCAACAAAAGACATTGTCTTTGCTCTGGTTGAAACTCGTGCCGTACCGTACAGGAGCCGACATATCCGACGTCATGTACTTCGATCTCTCCTCGTACGGAAGCTCAAAGAATCTTTTACACACTTCTATCATGTTCCTGCTCACATCTCCTTCCATACCATGATTCACCACCTGCCCATTAACATAGCGTACTTGTTTTGCAAGTAAGCTATTTATCACTTTATGTACTTTAGGGTTTATTTTAGTCATTTGAGAACCAACCTGGAAGAAGCCATAGGTTTCGCAGGCCTCGGCTATGGTTCGTAGGACTTGAGGCCGGTTAGGTCCAAAAAGCTCAGCGAAATCTATGATGGGAAGCTTTAGGTTTTGTTTTGGTTTGATGAGGTTGTCGGATTTTGTGAAGATGGGTCGGTCAGGTTCAGGCCATATATATTTGGAAGGCACTTTGGTCAGACCATTGCCACAAAGATGTTTCACACCCATTTGGTATTTCTTGTTCTCTTCTACCACCACCGGAGTAGCTAACATCGACGGGGACATTCTTCTCTGCAAATAAGACATTACCACGTATATGGATCAATAAACAAATAGCATATACATGAGTTATTTATAAAACAAAGGAAACTCAGGTGATACCTGATGGAATTTTTTTTTTTTTTTTTTTTGCTATATATCGGAGGGATCTTGATGCTCACTTGACAATATGCAGAATATATACGTATTTGTAAATGCGATGAAATGGATGTTTGAGGAAGTGATAAGTTTTGGTGGGTTTTGCATGTTGGTGTGTGTGGGTATTTATATATATACTTTTTTGGGAGACGTTGAAATGAATAGTCGAGAATTGATCTTTTTGACGAGTTAAACAAGTTTTGGTATTGTAATAAGTTAAATTCTTGGAGACTGACTTCTTCTTCTTAACTCGTCTCCTTACCAAAACCGTTGACATGTTATTGTATTATTATTCTATAGTATTTGGACGATAAGACCACGATAGGGTCTAGGCGTCTAGCTAGCAATGGTATTATAAGTTACATACATTTGAAAATGATATAGAAAGTAATAATAGTAATTTTTATAATTTATTATTCTTATTATTATTATTTGCTGAATACCACTTTGATTTTTACAAAAGTCTTTCTTATCTTGTAATAACCAAAGTGGTAATAATAATAATGACATGTATTTTTAAGCGAATTAGCATTGATTATTTGTTACTACGCCAAAGACGAGTTTGGCTTCACCACGGGTTTAATCACCCGCGCAATGATTTATCTTGGATGGAGTATGAGGGACAATACATCGTGATCCACATATTCATTATGTCCTCAACAAACAAGAACAAACAGATACATCTCTAGGTTTATTATAGAGAAGAGAACCCGAAAACTAAGATTCAAAACAAAACACCATTTCATAGTGAAAAACATTTTTGGTAAGAGTTCGAATCCAGGGTTGGATTTGGACCAAGTCCATTGAAACATTTGTCTCAGTTCCCAAATTTTTTAGTCTAGTTTAGCCTATAAATTTTTTTTTTTAATTGTTTTTATAAAACCAATTAGAAATCTCTGTTTCTGTTTTTGTTGCAGGTCCCCAAAATCTCAGATCCAGCCTTACTTCGAAATGTTCGTTATATTTTTTAGTTTCACTAAAAAGAAAAGAATTTGTGACACGAAAGTATGGATAATCATGGTATAAATGATTATATATGTTCCGAAACCATTAGAAAAAGAAATCAAATACGTTTTGTTATTTGCCTTTTGTGTTAAAATGTAAGACATTGGCTTTAATTAGAAGGAAAACAACAACAAGCAAAACACACGTTGAATACTAGAATTTTGGTGGCCAAGACTGATTTCTATATAGAATATTTCATTAAATCAAAAGATTCAAAACTAGAAAATATAAATACGAAGAAATTTTTGATTTACAATTGGAAAAATTGGCTCATCTACATGTACTTCCTCCCGATAGATTTCCATATATTAATATAATTGTTTTTAAATTGCTATTGGTGGTGCATGAAAGATCCCAATAGAATATTTAAGCATTTGACGAAACGGTACTACTTGGCGCGAAACTTCGTAACTTGGGTCCCGTTGGCTAGGGATCCCGGTCAACTCAATATGACTTTATAAATGTTGACTTTTGTATAATTTCAAATATAAAAGTTTCCTTAAATATGTGTAATTCTCTTACATCTTATATATATTCGAGTTTTCTTTTTCTGTGTTCGTCGCATCAAGTCTGGACCGACCAGCAAATCCGATCCCTCGGTTAATTACATGCAAATCCGATCCCTCGGTTAAATACGCCTGTTCTTTGAATGTATATAGAACGTATGTTCATTTTATTTGAAAAATGAATAATGAGTAGAAAAGATGTAGTTTTTCAAAATCTATCTTTTTATGTTTTATGCTGTATGCTTGATTTTGTTAATCAAAATTATGCCTCATGCTTTATTTTAGATCTAGCTAGGAAGCGACACTACTTTAAAGTTTAGGAATGAGTCTTATTCTTAATGATTTAGTAACTTTCAAAATATTTAACATTAATAAACCTTTCCTAAGCCTAAAACATTTGTTGTCTTTTTTGAAGTCTTATAGACTATAGGTATTCTTTTTTAGCTATCACCAGAGCCGGCCTTGAGACCAAGCAATCCAAACTCATGCTTACGAGCCTTATTTTTAAGTAAAACTTTTTAAGACAAAACAGCTTATTTTTTGAAAAAAATATGCAAAACAGCCAATTTTCTACTTTCTAACTTGCAGTCCATGCAAAAAATATACAACTCACGACTGGTTGGCTACCACTTATTTGTGGAGTATTTTTGGTTATAAATATAGTGAGAGAATAACCTAGAAAAATAAAAAACTCGAATAAGATGAAATGTTTAATATATAGTGAGAGAATAACACACAAGAAAACTGCAAGATAAAATGTTTTATACTTATATAGATAAAATTTGATTCGACGAATCTTCCCAGATATATAATTTTCCCAAATGTATTAAATGAAATTTAGATTCATCCATGCATTCCAGCTGTTGATGGCAAAAATAATACGTAGTATTTTTTTTTTTTTTAAAAAGGGAAAAATAATACGTAGTTTTTTCTCACGTATTTGAGACTAATTCAGCATGCAAGTACCCTTGTTACAAAAAAAAAATAGAAAAAAAAAGATATAAAATCAGCATGCAAGTGATCTCGATTTATTACGAAATTTTCTTTGCGTACGTTCTTTTTCGGTGGTTGTTTTGAATATTCATTTTCCCCAAGTACTGATATATATATATATATATATATATATATATTAAACATTCAACATATACATATGCGTGAGAAAGAAAGGATATTTAATGAAAGTCAAACGACGACATCTTGTACATTGGTTGGTTTTACGATATATACGTCACATCACATCACATCACATCCATGGATGGGCTCGTAGCTAACTAAACTATTGGACGTAAGGGGAAAACGGCCTATTCCTCTAAGCGAAAGTTCCGATAGTACATCTTCTCGGATCGAGATTAAAGACAAAAGTTTTTTCTTGGTTTAAAAACGGGAAAACAGCTATTTAGTACCTGAACTGCGAGTTCTGATACTGATTAATACCCAAGAAATTTTGGTGTGCGAATTAGTAACTCAACTCGTATAAATTAGCAAATCAGTACATGTACTATATTATTTTGGTTGTTTAGTACTTTGACCGAGTTTTCGTTGGTCAATCCCGTCAATTTTTAAATGGGGTTCTCTCTGATGCCACGACGACTTCCACGTCACTATACCGCTGTAGTTGTTAACTAAACGACGTCATTTTTGATTTTGGACAAACAAAAAAAATTAGTAAAACGACGTCGTTTTGGATTCAAGAGAAAAAAATATAGAAAACGATATCGTAGGATTTGACACAAAATAAAAACAAAAAACGTGTTTAGTCTTCTTCTTCTTCATCTCTCCTCATCTCGTACTTCATCTTCTCCATCGCTATTCTCTACAGTGTCTTCATCACTTTCCATGTATATCTCAATAGCATTGGTCCACTCAAATTTCATCACGATTTTAATATTGCTTAGCATTAAACAAATCAAAACCAATAAACAACAAATAAATGAAATCGAAACCCTAATTCTCTTGATTTACCTCATTTATTACGAAATTTTGGTTCCCACTAAGCACTCAACTTCGAATTCTGTTTTGATTTCAACCCAGCTTCTATTTTGGCCAATGCTTCTTGCAGAATTGAAGTGAAACCCTAATCCCCATTTCATTTAGGTGTCGCGAGGAAGAAGAAGACTAAACATGTTTTTTGTTATAATTTTTTGTCAACCTAAACGACGTCGTTTTCTATAATTTTTTTGTTCTCTTGAATCCAAAACGACGTCGTTTTATTAATTTTTTTTTGTGTTTGTCCAGAATCCAAAAACGACGTCGTTTAGTTAACAACTACAACAATACAGTGACGTGGAAGTCGTCGTGGCATCAAAGAGAATCCCGTTTAAAAATTGACGGGGTTGACTAACGGAAACTTGGTCAAGGTACTAAATGGTCAAAAAAATATAGTACATGTACTGATTTGCCAATTTATATGAGTTGAGGTATTGATTCACACACCAAAGTTTCTTGGGTATTAATCGGTACCAGAACTCGCAGTTCAGGTACTAAATAGCCGTTTTCCCGTTTAAAGACTGACAAGGTTTTGAAAACAAAAAAAGACTAAGACAATGTTAATAAGTAATTTTTCGCGTTTACTAGTAAAACTCGAAATATTTGAAAGTTATTTGTAGGTGACTGCTACTATGCCAGATAGTGCGCCTTGATGTTAATTACTTAAATTTTTTTGTCAGCTTTTAATTACTTGTATTTTATTTGTTAATTTTTTTTTTTGAAACTGTTGTTGAATTCTTATTGATCTATATATAGATTTACAGTTTCAAAAAATACATCATTCATGGACTAAAAATCACATATACATAAACATCGACCAACTTAATGATAGTTTAATGTTTACCATGCTTATGCTTCAGTCTCCATCCAATTATAAGTTTATCGAGTCGGAAACAGATTACAGGTTTTGTAAACGTGATAAATTAATTAGGTCAACAATACCATTAATTACATGTCTAATAAAATATATTATCTCAAACCAATTTAATGCTTTAATGCCGATAACTAGCTAGAGTTGATTATCAGGTAAATAGTGACAATTATATAAAGTAAATGTTGATGTTAGAAACTAGAGGGTTGATTTATGAACTTCAAGAAACAGTTACGTTAGTTGGCAAAAGAGAAATAATTAGAATACAATTATTAGAATAATTAGAATACAATTAGTAAAACTTGCGAAAAAACAAGAAGCTGTTATGGACAAACGGGCGTTAGAGCAGGTACATCACTGAACCTCTCTTATTTTGGGGTTCACCAAAATAAAATATTTTTTTTTTTGTGTTTTGAGTTTATTGAAGAACCTGTGTCATATTTGAGTTTCATTGGTAAATTCTAGAGAGAGATTCATCAACAATAAAAAATTAATTTTTTATAAAACAAAAAAGTCAAAAATTTAATTTTATTAACATGAAGAAGAGATTTTGATTATTAAAGCATTTGAGGAAGAGAAGAAGAAGATGAAGAACTCTGCATCCGTTGTTTGATCCATGACTCCAAGTACTGAAGCTCCTTATTACTGATCAAGTGCCCGATCCAAGACTCCAAGTACTGAAGCTCCTTATTTTTGATCCGTTGTTTGATCCATGAAGGATCATATTGAGGAAGACACTTCAAGGCTGTCTCCAATCTGTCTATAGGGCTCTCATCTTCGCCAACAATGACAACATCAAGCTCCGATTCTAGTTCAAAATGATACCCACAGATCTTATATAGGTTAACGTAATGATTACCAATTGAAGTAAGCTTACACAATCCTCCATCTAAGAATAAAGCATATGAATGATAACGAACTGTAAGATAACAAAGGCCAAAGTAGAAGAATATACTTTGAGATGGGAATTCCGGTCTAAACATGGGCTCTTCTGGTATAACTGTGTTGCGAAAGATCTGCAAGTCACAACACGGAAAAGCACATAACTATGTCATCAATAAAAAAATTGTAAGAGTATTGACCATCAACAACCCTGAAGAACAATTATAAAGGCAAATGAAAATAATGTCAGTTTGATAAAAAAAAGACCTCGGTCATGCCATTATTCTTCTTCGGTGAATCTACAATCGATGAACCTATAAGCGGTGCTTCAAGCATCTTAACAAAAAGCCAGTCAAATGAGGGGCTGCAAAAAAAAAAAAAATACAGAAAACCATGTAAAAAAAAACACACAATTCATTCTTAAGAGCTAACGTTAAAATCCATGATCAGGCAAACGCAGGAAAGTGCATCGTATGATCGAACCTTTGATAGCTTCTTCTTTATAATTGACACCAGAAACATTAACCTCACTTGCCGGTTTCATGACCTGATACTTACCCATCTACAAACAAAGTACCAAGCAAGAAAAATAAAAGACATTAAGTTGGATTGATCTAATAGATCACACGTCACTGTTCTATAGGCTAAACACTGAAGAAATTTACAAAAACTAGGCAAATCAAAAAACACAAAAAATCGATGAGTCATTGTTCTGAAATTACTTCCCATAGCGTAAGAATCACAAATTTCAGAATCAGAAAAAATTAGCAGGAGAAAAATAAAGGATGGCGACAAAACTGATGAAGATTCCGAGATACACAGAAGCAGATTCGGAAACCAGAGTCACAAGCAAAACGAAAGATGGTAATGGAAGATTCAGATTGCAGAGTAAAAGAGGAACCTGAGAACGTTGATCCGAATCGGCATTAATGAAGCTTACCAACTTGCTTCGAGGCAGATTTGAAGAAACCGTGCGGATGAGCGGTGAAGTTGTTGGAAACTTGAATGGTCGCTTCTACCGATTCGAAAACAACAACTCGAAAAAGAAGAACAGACGCTTACCTGGATGATGGGGAAGGAAAGGCGATGCTCGGATTACACCTCCACCGGGAATAATCGACGGAATCGACGATTGCGAAGGATTCAGCAAAAATTGCTGGAGAAGACGAAGAGAGAATCAAAGACGAAGAGAGAAAATGAATTTTTTCCCCACGAGATTTTTTTTCCCTGCAAAATTAGCTTCTTTTTCGCCCAATCTCCTTCCGCCACGTGGTTGGGATGCGGAGTCTTCAGGCTCGACGGAATGAACCGATCCTTCCGAGTTGGGCCTTTTTTCTTTTTTTTTTAAACCCAATAAATCTATGATTCTATGCCCAAAATACCACAAAACTCTCTAAAACCAAGTTTATCAAAGAAATTTAGGTAGATTTCTCCTATTAAAAAAGCCCAATTTAATCCAAAAAGTTAACTTTTTTTACAGGATCGATCCCAAAACAGGGACTGGAATGAGCGTTTCTGCTTGGTGACGTGGCTAGCTTCTATTGGAGAGAAATGAATTATGTGGTTTGGAAAAAAATTTCTGAATTCTTGTTTTGTTCTTCTTTTTCACGAGAGAAAGTTTTTCCACACCGACAGAGACGATGGGAGAGTCGAGAGGATTTCCCGGGATGATAGGAAGCATTGATTGTATGCACTGGGAGTGGAAGAATTGTCCCACAGCCTGGAGAGGACAATTTACCCGTGGTTCTGGCAAGTCCACAATTGTTTTAGAGGCTGTAGCCTCATATGATTTGTGGATATAGCATGCATTTTTTGGACCTCCAGGTACGTTAAACGACATAAATGTTCTTGATCGCTCACCTGTTTTCGATGATATCATACAAGGTCGGGCTCCGCAAGTTACTTTTTCTGTCAACGGAAGGGAGTATCATATGGTTTACTATCTCACTGATGGTATTTATCCGAACTGGGCTACTTTTATACAATCCATTAAACTTCCTCAGGGTCGAAAGTCAAAATTATTTGCTACCACTCAAGAGAGCGTCCGAAAAGATGTCGAACGTGCTTTTGGTGTATTGCAAGCTCGATTTGCCATTATCAAAAATCCGGCACTTTGTTGGGATAAAGCAAAAATTGGCAAGATTATAAGGGCATGCATCATTCTCCACAACATGATAGTAGAGGATGAATGGGATGGATTCACGCTAAGTAATGTCTCTGAATTCCTACAAGGAGACGGAAACGGAAATGCACAAGTGGATCAAGATTACTCGACAGACCAGCCTACAAATATCGCTAATATGTTCGATGCTCGAAATAGAGTTCGGGATTCACACATTCATAAGCAATTGAAAAAGGATTTGGTTGAACATATATGGCAAACGTTTGGTCATTTGGTGGATAATTAAGTTTAACTGTTAAAATTGTGTTGTTTCAATAATTATGTTAAATTTGTAATGTTTTCAAATTATATGAATGTAATATCAAGAATTTCATTTTTAATAATCAATTTTTTTAAAAAATTTTTTTTTTAAATAAATCCATCAGAGTTTCTCCAATGCACCTATAAAAAAACATGAATTTTTTTTTTGGTTTCTTATTCCAACTTTACTAATATAATAATGAAGAAGAAATCAACACAGATTTCTTTGATAAACATGCTCTAATGGACCTGGTCTTAGAGTCAAAGACTAATAAAATATCTGCATGCATTTCGTCTTTTTCCTCTCCATTCGTTGCATTCGTTTATAGGCCACGTCAGGCTCTCTATTTCTTTATAGTCTTTGCATCATCATTCCTTCGCATTAAATTTTAGCTTTTTCACGACAAAAATTTGCTTTTTATTTGTTAGGAGAAATGTTAATTATTGATAAGCCCATTTTAGCATTTAGCTCAACTGCGAGTTTAGTAAGATCGCGAATTCAATTTTGGTGAGGGTCGGTTTTAATGATGTATTGTGCTTTTATCAGTTTGGGTCTTTATTCTTTTCCATTTCATTTTCTGTCTTTGATTAAATGTAGGCGTCTTCTGAAAATTTATAGAATCCGTCGTATCTGTTATACCATCTCAAATGTTTGCTAGAGAATTTAGAGCAAAAAAGCGCGAAAATTGAAAGAAAAAAAATATCTACATTTATAGCTATGTGAAAAAGAGCACATGTAATAATAAGCGGCACAACCACGGACTCTAAAGCTCTGGCAGTCACCTATCTCAACCCAACGCAGTCACAAAATTCCAATTAGCGTAATAGAGTCTCTAGTATCATTGGATAATCTAGCTGCCAATCATAAGATCTAACAACCACATATCTCAATCCAGTGCGATTACAACCTCACAGTCTTCATGAATATATATGATTTTGAATTAATGAAATGGAAAACTATTATACATTTAATTTTAAAAAAAACAATAAAGGATGACATCAAATAAAAACGTCTCAGTCCATTAATTTTGCTTTTGCGTTTATCTATATTCGTATATATATGTATGTATATATATATTATAACACTCCCTCGCTATAGATGTCGGTTTGATTAGTTTGTTACAATATTTTTGTTTAAAGATTTTAATGTAAACTAATACTATGTCGTTGATTACAATATTGTCGTTTAAAGATTAAAATGTAAACTTATAATATTGTCGGTTTATTACAATATATTGTCCTCTTTTTACAATAATGTATATTGATGTTAAAAGATTTACCTCTACTAATATTTAAAAAAAAAAACAAAATAGAACATAAGTCCAATAGTCAATTTGTAATTTAAAGGTAAATAGAAAGTTAACTTATTTCTTATTCGCGTGAAATGTGTTGAAATAATTATAATGCTACGACTGAGAGAGTAACACACACACAAAAAAACTGTTGTCTAAGAATAAATAAAAATTCAACACAGAAATTATAAATGCAAACGCAAATCAAAACCCGGGTAGCCTTTGATTAACAATATATTATGTGATATTTTGATTAAGAGTGTATTAATAAAGTCATAGTTATCTCAGCCATCGTGAGAAGATTATGAGACATTGATAAGGTATTACACATCTTGTATAAATCATACTATCATTTTATATCTGAAATTAATGAATGCGTAGGTATCAGGGATTATATATATAAAAATGCACATTGTGACTTAGCATCCTTCAATTTAGGAAAAAATAATCCGTGGACCGTCCAAGTCCTGTCTAATAACAATTGCCTAAGTCAAAAGTTTGAATCATATATAGTTCTAGTAATTATGTATTATGTATAAAGTCAATTAATATAAAACTTATACGAGCTAAGGACATATTGCTGACCAGCAGTTGCATTCGTCACGTTCTCGAATTTAAAGTGACAATACACGAAACTAACAAATTTCATGTTCTAGACTTTGCTTTCAAGTGTTTCTGTTGGCGTGATCGTAGATAAATAGTACTTGGCTGTCAAATTTAAAAATTTAACTTCAAGATACTGAAAGTTAAAGTTCAAAAAAAAAAAAATAATACTGAAAGTTCCTCAACGATAAACTACACTATACACTGAAACGTTGAACTTGATCAATTTCGTTAATTATGAAATATCAACCAGCGAAAGTCACGGGTTACGAAACTAAACCCATAATACTGGTGCATTTGATATATTACGAAGATTGGTACTTCTGATAACATGTATCATGTTATCTTCTTTGTGTAAATCAAGATATGTTATGTGCAGTTTCAGGTGTGTATTACGGATATTTGTGGTTAGGTAATTAGAAAAGAAAAACCAAAATAACACATTTTTAAAAATTGTTATCATTACTAGGATCCAACAAATGCGATATTGTCAAATTGTTTGTACTGTAGTTATGTCTGATATTACTATACTAATTGCTCGTTTCTAATTTAGAAAACTATAATGTTAATAAACATCCATACTTGAGAATTATTAGTGGCATTAAGACTTTTGATCATAGAATGATATTGGGTTTAAAAATTGAATTAGCGCAGTTCCTGAAAAGAAAATCATTGACAGAATTCGAATGTTTGATTGAGTTAAACGAAACTGAGTTGTCTTAAAGTACGCGGTGTGGTTTTTTTATTATATAAAGAAAACATCATTACGCGGTGTTGATCTTCAAAGAATAAACAAAATATCAGACTAATGGTGAAAATGAGGGGTGAGAAACGATCAATCGTAACTGACCGGCATGTTGCATCCAGTAACTAAAAACGACGGGATGTAGCTCAAATAGTCAAAGAGTTGACCACTGAAAGCCGACAAGGTCTCCTGACTCAAGTGGGGTTTTAAAAGATCTGGCCATGTCCGTAGACAGAAACAGTACTTCCAATGTACTATGTGGACCCTACTGTTCTCCGGACAACTAAAACCAGATCAACCAATCATTCTTCATTCATGTCTCTTACAAAATTTCATTTGTTTTGTGTCTAATTTATTTGTAATTTATAGTAAGTCGCATTTGTATTCAATGAGAGACATCATAACAAATGCATGTATGATCCTTAAATTATTGCTCAACCGGTAACCACTAGTATTTTATTTGATTATTGCCCAACCTTTATATACTTATTTTTTTATTCACAACGTTTGAAGATGTCATTTTTGTTTTTTCCTCACTAGTTTATTTACATCTTGACAAAGTAATTAAGAGGCTTGGAAATAATTGAAAGAAACAATATAAAGGATTCGAAGATATAAAGACGTTGCAGTGTATCCTAAAATTTTCTTCCTTCCATATTTTATAAGTCGTAACTTGCCAGAAAAATAGTAAAAGTTTACTTCCTTGATTGTTCTTCTTGCATGCCCATAGCAATGAGGTTACCAAGACGTTGTTACCGCCATTAGGTTAGTATCTTTGTCCACATAGTTTGAGAAATCTGGAATTGGCTAATATTCTTTACGGCAAGCGAATCTTCTTCTTTCACCGCAATGTTTAATATCTGATTTGCTAGAGATTTCGAGTTAAATTTGGGCTGTTTGTTTTTTTCAAGGCTTCTTGTTGTATTTTATTTTATCCTCTTTTAATAAGTTGTTAATTTGAAGTCCTTTACTTCAAAGACTATGTACATCGAGGGTGGCATTCTTCAAACCTGAGAAGAAACCCTGCAGTCACGGATAGGATCAGGGAATGTAGAAAGTCGATGGCATACTGCCGACGTTCAACAAAATTAAATGCTGCCAAAAGAATCATCGACCTGGAAGACAAGTTGGAAAGGGCTCTTTCACCAAACAGACCTCCTGAGGATATTTCCGAGATCAGA